TTATAATCTGCACTACATAGGTAGAAGCAGCAGGGTCTGAAATTCAGGTCTAACCTTGGCTACATAGCCGGCTCAGAGTCCTCACCCCAAGAGGAAGTAAGTCCAAGACATGTGAAGAGTTACTGAGGCCCTCAGGCAGTACCGTGGATGGAGCCACCTCAGAAGCAGGTCCTGGGGTCTTAGTAGGGTCTTCTGATGAAGTCAGCCCAGTGGACATCAGCTGACTGCAGAACTCTACCTGAAGACCCACAGAAACCTCAGGTAGTAAGTGGGATCCTCACTTGAAGCCGCCAATGAGGTGCATTGTAATCAGGATGCCACAGGGAAGTTGAACCTTGACCTGGTGAGGCCCTCTGGGGCCTCAGTTCCCCCTTACAACCCTGATTGGATACCATAGATCTCCCAACAGGGGAGTCTGCTTCCACGCTCAGCCTGTTGAGGACCCATCTCCACCCATTTCCTCGAGACCTCGTGTTCCCTCAAGGTGTGAATGTTCTCACCACAGAGGCTATCGCCATCACCGGCCAACATTGCCAGTCGCATCTGTCTCTGATTGGCTGAACTGGAATCCCGTGTGGCATGGCATATTCAGGGAGGTGGCTGGCACGACCGCCACCATAGCATGTTCTGTGACTAAGCAGAGGACTCCGTGCTCTGCCCATGTTCACAGAGTGCGTGAGCGCCTTAGAGCGTGCCCCGGAGGGATGGCGGCTCTCCCTGCATGGCCCAAAGCTGCCTCTGTTCCCTGACGTGTTCTGGGCTTCCTCAGCTTTTCTCCATCCGTCCAGCTGTGGCTGGGTGTCTGGGGACTTGGAACGAGTTGGTGGATCTACAATGGGTGATGGGTCCACCCCGTTCTAATCCAACTCCCCCAAATACTCCACTGCAACAACCAAACTCCCCCAACCAAGCTCCCCTGAGCCAGACTCTAATCAGCACCTTGATTCATTATACTACTGAGTATTGCAGCCACCGTGAAGGTGCTATTGCTATTGACCTTACCTTCTGAAGCCCAGACTGGGTGAGGTGCCCAAGGCCGGAGCTTTCTCTTGCAGCTCTGTAGAAGCCAATTAAAACTGGATTAAGAAATTTACAGGACTTGTTCTAGCAGTTCACACGACAAAAACACAGGGTTAGCCCCGAGCCTTAGGCACAGTTGGATCTCGGTTGCCAAGGATGTCCTGGGAACCCAGTTCCCTAGCCTCTGCCATGCCTCTTGCCTTGGGCAAACTTTCCCCAGTGGTGACAAAATGGCTTCAGGCAGCTCTAGGAATGGCGCCAGGCTAGGGTTACTTGGGTTTTGACCCAGCCCCGGACCAAAAGGGGTGCCTGTTCTGACTGGCTAGTTCTGGTCCTGTGTCCATTGCTGAGCTGAAAGAGGTGGAAGAGCAGAAATGGGGGTGCTGAGCAGAAACTGGGGTGCTAAGCAGATGACCGTGGTCAGTCTAGGAGCAGAGCTGGGTCTAATATGGTAGTACCAGTAGGAGGACTCTTAGGAGACTCGGTCATGAGGCCGCCTCTCTTGGCCAGTTTCCTCATCTTGGACTCAAACTTCCAGCCTGGTGAGATAATAGTTTGTAGTTTATAAACGCTGACGCATCAAGCCACTGAAATGGCTCAGTAGGCAACAACGCTTACCACCAAGTCTGATGACCCTCAACCTATGTGGTGGAAGGGAGAGAACCGACTCCTTCAAGTGGTCCTCTCACCTCCACATGAGTGGATGGCATATGCACGCCCCCACACCATATAAATAAATGTAAGAAAAATTAAACTTCCAAGCCTTGGATATTTTGTTATAGCCACACAGACAAGGCACCAAGCATCCTAACAATCAAAATTGTTGTTCACCAGCAGACAGTGAGCCAACTCAGCATCTGCTTTTCCCCCAACTTGATGCAACCAGGCCCAAAATGCACATGAGTGTGTGTGTACACACACATACACAACACACACACACTTCCCCCATAAACCCTGGTGCTAAGCCAGACGTGGTGGTATGCACCTCTGATCCCACCAGACCGATGAGGTCACTCACCTTCAACACACCCAAGGGCTCATGGCGAGACTGCCAACAGAATCCTCCTGAAGCTAAACAGAACAGGCCTGCTGCACACGACAAGGGAGTCCTGAGTCTACTATTCATAGAAAAGCAAACAAGAGAGAGAGAGAGCCCCAGGGAACCTCAGGAGTAAAGACGGTATTTTCCCTTGGATTTAGACTCACGCGGAACGTGTTTAAGCATACATCACAGTGCTCTGCGTTGGCCTGACCGCACGGTCCTGGCACCACAGGGTTTCTCGTTTGCGGTCACACACGCGCCTTCAAGCACTGCCACCTTTCAGCAGGGCATTCTGGGAAGCATGCAGGTGCTGGTCTTCGTCCCTGCTGTTCCCAGCTTGGGGATTGCTTGAGATACCTCAACCTTTCCTTGGGGGCAGGAGTTAGAGATCAGACATCTCCCATGTAAGCCTGGCCACTAGCTGGCCACTGGCAGGGGACACGATGCAGATTGAAGCACCCCAGGAGTGGGAAAGCCACAGGCAAATGAGGCTCAGGCCAAGGGTGGAGGGGCTATGGGCAATAGAAGGGAATCGTACACACATCTCCTTCAATATGGTCCACCTGTCTTTTATTTTGTCTCTTGGGCTGACAGGTCTTATGTCAACTTGACACCCAAGCTAGAATCATCTGAAAGGAGGGAACCCCAATGAAGAAGATGCCTCCAAAAGATCTTGCTGTAATGCATTTTCTTAATTAGTGATCGATGGGGGAGGGTACAGCCCATGGTGGGCTGGTGGGTCTGGGTTCTACGAGAAAGCAGGCTGGGCCAGGCAGTAGTGGCGCAGGCCTTTAATCTCTGTGAGTTCAAGGCCAGCCTGGTCTACAGAGTGAGTTCCAGGACAGGCTCCAAAGCTACAGAGAAACCCTGACTTGAAAAAGAAAAACAAAACAAAAATTAAAACAAACAAACAAACAAACAAAAACAAGTTAACAAAAAAATTAAATAAATAAAAGAAAGCAAGTTGATCAAGCCACGGAGCAAGCTCATAAGCGGCTCCTCTCCATGGCCTCTGCATCAGCTCCTGCCTCCAGGTTCCTGCCCTGTTTGAGTCCTGTCCTGATAACACTCAGTGATGAACAGTGATGTGGAAGTTAAGCGGAATAAACCCTTCCCTCCCCCAGGCTGCTTTGGTCATGGTGTTTGTCATGGCAATAGTCACCCTGACAAAGGCATTACTGTTGTCTTATTCTACCCTGAGATGGTGTGACGCAATCTACAATCACCTGACACAACCTACAATCACCCGGGAAGACAGTCTGGATGGGGAATGGTCTACACTGGGCTGGCCTGTGGGCATATCTGCAGGGTGGGGAATTGCCTCAGTTAAGTTATCTGATACAGAAAGACCCAGCCCACTGTGGGCAGCCTCATTCCCTAGGCAACGGGTCCTGAGTGGAGGAACGGAGCTTGAGCACAAGCGTGCAAGCAAGTGAGTATCCACATGTATGACGCTAGACGTGGTGTGACCGGCTGTCTCCTCTGCTTTAATGTCCCCAAAGGGAGGGACTGTAACCTGGATCTGTCAGCCAAAATGAACCCTCTCTCCCCCAAGCTGCTTTTTGTCAGGCCATAGAGCTGAAACCAGGGCAGATAGGACCTCATGCTATAGCCCAGGCTGGCCTTGAGCTAATGGAAATCCTCCTGCCTCAGTCTCCATCGTTCTAGAAATACAGGACGTATTATCGTGGCTGGCTGTTTTTCTCCTTCCTTCCTTCCTTCCTTCCTTTCTTTCTTTCTTTCTTTCTTTCTTTCTTTCTTTCTTTCTTTCTTTCTTTCTTTCTTTCTTTCTTTCTTAGATGCTGTCTCTGAGATTTCTGGAGGCCAGGCTTCTGTCTAGTTTGATCTCTGTCCCTGCCTTTCTGTCTCCCTTTCTTCAAACACTGAGACCCAGAGGCAGCAGGTGGACCCCTGAGCCACCGAATGCACCTGACACTTGCAGCCACCCCTGGAATCCTTGGCCTTTGGACTGGGATTGGGGCCTGGTGCCACAGTACACAGGACACAAGCCCCATTTCTGACTGAGAAATTTCCTGGGCACCTTTTGTTGTTGTTTTGTTCTGTTGTTTGAAACAAGGTCTCTACGTAGCTGTAGCGCAGGCTGGCCTTGAAGCATCCAGAACCCTTCTGCTTCAGCCTCCCAAGTGGTCAGGTTCCAGGAAGGTACCAAGGAGCTACTTCTGAGTAAATATTTACCGACCATCTGAATCCTAAGAAAGCATCTTATAAGTGGGGAAGTGGGCCTCCGGGTAGAATTGTTCTATTAAGGGACTGTCAGATCGTTTCTGCAAGTGAGGGAGGCTCCCTCTATATGCCAGGGAGAGCTGCTGTCCCATGGTGTCAGGAGTAGGGGTACCACGACGTGATGGAGCCCTGCAGATCAGTGGTCCCACAGATCATGCGGACCCCCACAGCCTGGGCCAGGGCGGGAGCCGGGGATGCATGCATTGATCGCTGGCGTAGACGCGGCGGCGGCCCCGGCATCTGTGCACGCCCGCACCGGGCCGAACTGTCGGGAACAGCTGCGCTGGGTGGCTCGAGCTTACTGGAAACGCGCTCCCGAGCGCGCAGAGGCCCGGGCGGCTGCAGCCGGGGCCGCCCTTGGCGGAGGGCAGAGCCAGGGCTGGGCACCCGGGCGCCGGCTGGCTGTGCCACCGTGAAGGGCTGCGTTGGGCCCGTGCCACCCCCGGAGGACCGGCAAGGGAGCACTGGGCGGGCTGGGGAAGCCTGGGTCTTTCTGTGGGTAGCTGCACAGCCAGCTACCTCCCTTCCCGGTAGGCAAGCTGGCTGCCACCGGGTTTGTGGGTGGGTGGTAAAGGCTCCGAGCCCTGTGAGGGATCAAGTGGAGGAGGCACCCCGGTGGGTCTCCTTCAGCCTGAGAGAACTCCCCCCCCCAACCAAAGGGCAGCAAGGGGTTCACAGAGACGTTTATTGAGCATCTACTGACTGGGAGGCGCCGAGGTGCAGCGATCCAGAGAAGAGGGGGCAATTCCTCCCTTTCAGGAAAACGTTTCAGAGACGCATTCTTATTTATTTATAAGCCATAGGCGCTTTATTACTGGGCTTATATTTTATGTGTCCATAAAAGTTGAAACCTAAAGAGGGTGTATAAAAAATAGAAAACGGGTTATGTTTCTTTCCGTATGAGCTGTGCACACGTCCCACCTTGGAGACTTGGGGTCGGTGCTGCATCTTGACTGAGCCTGCGCTGGAGAAAATACCCCACCTGTCTGTGGACTGTCCTGTGTCTTAGGGGTCCTGGCCCCACAGTCCTTGGCACAGGGTAGCAGAGGGCAGAGAGGCATCGTGTCTGGTTCTCGGGTCTGGGTTCACATCTTACACCTGTTACTTCCTGGCTAGTGACTTGGCCTCTTTGGGCCTCTGTTCCCTCCCGCCCCCTCCAGTCCACTCCCTCCCTCTCTCCCCTCTTCATCCCTCCCTCCTTGGCAGGGTCTCAAGTATTCCAGGCTGGCCTCAAACTCACTTTGAAGTAGGGAGGATGATCCTGAACTCTTCACCTTCCTGGCTCCTCCGCCTGCCTGGTGCTGGGCTTACAGGCTTGTAGCACTGAACCCGGTTTAGGCAGTGCTGGGGTTCCAACACAGGGCTTCCTGCAGGCTAGGCAAACACTCTGCCCCCAGAGCCACCCTGCCAGACTCTGGGCTGCACTTGCTTCTGTGAAGTGGAAGGAACCAGCATTCTTCACTGCAGGATGGAGCTTCTGGGGGCGTCAGGCTGAACCTGCCTGGGTACGAATGGAACCCGGGCACTGGTGTCTTCTAGTGGTCCCTTAGACTCCGAGAAAGACCCACTTATTGTAGCAGAGAACAGCGTTCCCTGCAAGGGCAGTTGTCAGTAAAGCCCTTCATGCAATGGAGGGGCTTCTGGGGAGGAAGTGGCGCGGGAGGCCTTATCCAAAGAGAAGTATAAAGAGACAAAGAGAACAGTCAGTCAGCCATTCAACAAATTTTAGCTGACAGCCAGCTCAGTGCTTTGAACAGACAAGAAGCTCGCTCAGCATCCCGAGAGCCCAGAGAGCCCAGTGTGTCACATTCAGGAGTGGGTACGAAAACATCTGTGGAGCAATGGGGTCACCTGCAGGCCAAGGATAAGGGGCCTCTGGGGACGAGGGAGGCCCAGCCCAGGCCCAGGCTCAGGCCCAGAGCCAGGGGGCCACCCTGAGGTGTGGTGGCCCCTGGGCAGTGAGTGACTCAGGCCCCGCCTAGCCTCTCTGCAGCCTGGGTTTGGTTTGTTTAAGAACAAATTAGTCACAGCAGGGCAGCTTTCCCGAAAATAAAATGAGAGTCCCCAGGAAGCAGGGAAAATTGAAGGCAGGCAAGTGAGTCAGCACGTGCTCCCCCTAGGGCTCCGCTTTCCAAATACTAGCCCTCCTCCCCCTCCTCTCCCTCCTCCTGCTCCTCTCCTCCTCCTGTCTTCCCTCCCCCTCCTTCCTCCCTCCTCCCCAGCCTCTCCCTCTGCAGCCCCCATCTCCCTTTCTCTCCTTTCTTTCCCCCTTTTCTTCTCTCCCTCCACATCCCTCTCCTGATCGCTTGGGCTCCATGCCCAGGGCCACTCCCCCTCCCTTCCCTCCAACCGCAAGACCCCATGCATTCCTCTTTTCCTTTAGCCTTGCATTGCTCCGCAGGCCCAGTCACTGCCCACAAGAGGAAACAGCCAAGGCTTGGCCCTCTGAGGGCCACCCTGTATTGGGAAGTCTTCAGCATGCTGCCAGACTGCAGACAGTGACCGTGTTACCTGGACGTGGGGAGAGCTGGGCCCCAACCAGAGAAGGGACCCTTGAGGACTTAGTGCAAGCCTCCTTCCTGGGTGTTCCCTGGCCTGCATGCGGGTCTCTCCTCTCTGCACTCTTTGTCTTTTGCTGCCTAGAGGAGCCTTAAGGGAACTGGGGCTAGGGGCCAGTTTGGACTCAAAGACAGGGCTCTGGTGTTTTCTCTTTCCCTGCCTCTCCTCCCTGTGGGAGGAAGCCAGTCTCTCTTTGGAGAAGACTTTGGTCACACAGCTTTGTACCCCAACCACTGAGGGTCAACAGCAAAGGGTCCTGGCTGCAGGAAGGATCCAGGCCCAGACATCTTGGCTCCTACAATCCTCCCAGTGATAGCCATTGTGGACCTAGGACACCTCTCCTACAGGGTTCTAGAGTCTTCCTTCAGTCCTGGTCAGCCCCAGATGGGAGCAATGCTATTCCATTGCCCCCCTCCCTGGGACCGTTTCCAAGACCACCCCCAGGATCCAGGGCAGGCAGCCCCAGGCCTGGGTCACTGGGCTGGGCTGGGGTCTCCTGCCTCTCCTGTCGCTGTTCAATCTCTGCCTGCATCTCTCAATGAATAATTTAGCCATTCGAGTTACAGTAAAGAGAGCACAGCTTCCCTCCCCAAATCGTTAAGAACTGATATGTTCGGCAGCGGCGGCAGCGTCTTGATTCCTTCTGAGGAAAGTCCCTTTCCTAGCGAAACTGAGCCTGCGGATGGGGACCCCCCCGAACCAATATCCGTAACTGTAATAGGCAATTGGTATATATATCTTGGCTCTAAAAAAACTAGGCTGAAGCCTCAGCCACCAGTTCTTGAGAATAGAAAAGATAACAGCCCTGAGCGTGGGTGTGAACATTGCCATGGAGAGAGAAGGAGCTATGGTGACTGACCCCAAGTCACAACTGAAGGTCCCTGGAGAGGCTGGAGATATTGTAGGATCCTGCTGGAAGCGACATGGGATGTGAAATGGAGTGGATGGTGCAAGAGTATATGTGTGTGCGTGTGCATGTGCTTACATGTATGTGCATGTGTGTGGACCTGAGTGCATATGACCTATATGGATGGGTACATTCATGAGGGTGCGCAAATGCATGTATGCCTGTGGAGGGGTGGATGCATATCTAGGTGCAGGTTGCCGTGTGTGTGTGTGTGTGTGTGTGTGTGTGTGTGTGTGTGTGCACGGGCTTGCATGCATACAGCATGTGTGCATGTGCAGCTGGTGCATCTGTAACATGCCTGTGCCTGAGCTGTGCAGCTGGGAGAAATGGGCTGGGGCAGTGGGAACTCCACAGTGCAGAGGGACAGTCCTCTGGTGTCTTCACAGCTGGGAAAGTTGGGGTGTGGAATCTGGGTGAGGCTGGGCTTAGGCCTCCCAGTCAGGTGACTTGCAGTCAGGGAGGGGAGAGGCTCTGGGAAGTTCAGAGAGAGGGAGGGACTGAGGCAAAGGGCCAGGGTGGGGACGTGGGCTGGGAGACTCTCTGAAGGGTGAGGCAAGAGCTAGGGGCTGGAGTTCTGGAGCTGAGAGCCAAGGGTACTAGGAGGTGTGGCTCAGAGGTTTGGTGGAGTCTGGTGGGTGTGTGGAAGCAGGGGTGGGGCTTCCGAGCACTGCTATGGCAGGTTGCTACCCTGTGGTCAAGAGAGAGGGACCGAACCTGGCAGTGGAAACTGCAGGTACTACGCTTCCTGCAAGTTCCCTTGAATGGCTGGGGATGGGGTGGGTGTGAGTGTCCTGACTGTTCTGGCCCAGAGCCACTGAACCTGTCCTTGGGCCTGATTTGCTGATCCATACCTCACCAAGCCAACCAGCTTCCCCAGGGGCTCCTCCATCCCTGCCCATTGAACTCACACTCCAGGCTGCAGGGTGGGCCTGAGATGGACCTCACGCCTCTGCCCCCTGCTCTTCTCAGCACCCTATCCTGCCTCTGTTTTCAGGCTGAGAATCCCCTGGTACCTGCCCAGAGCCCTCTGCCCCTGTGTAAGCTGCCAGGTACCAGCCATCTGCAGGAGTTTTCTCTCTTCAGTATACAGAAGACGTCATCCAACCTCCTTCCTAATGGAGGAACTTCCTGGTCTCACAGAAGTGTGCTGGGTGCATATTCTGTTGAAGGGCAGGTGTGTAGCAGGCCGGACAGATGCCCCCTTGGTCAGCTTCTTGCAGATGCCCTGGGAATCCCAGAGGACCCCTCCCCCTCTCCTCAGGCTTATGTGACAACCAGCTATGACCTCAGCGGCCTGCAATCAGATGTGGGTTTGCTGGAGTTCCCCGGGAGCCCCCCTTCATTTCTTGTGCTGGTCACCATATCCATTAGGGCCTAGATCTGAGGCAGCTGGAGCAGGAGTTTCAGAATTAGGACAGCAACCCCTAGGGAGTCTTCTGGTTCTCCCCACTCCACAACCCCATCCCAGCTCCTGAAGAGATGGGAAGGACAAGTTCCACAGAAGAGAGGAGTTTTCTTGGACAGGCAGGAAATAGCCTTGTGTCCAAGCTTGGAGTCTCACAGGAGCCCTTGCTTCCTGGGATGAGCACTGGGGGCCTTCTTGGTTCTCTCCCGTCTTCCTCTCTTTCCCTCTGGCCCAGAAACACTTGTTCAGGGAGACCTGCCTGCAGGCAACCCTCAGCTTCTATTTCCTTGGTGGGAATGACTAGGGCATCCTTGCTTTTGGGATCCTATACCTTAAAAGGCCACCCTCCCCAGCTCCTCCGGTCTCACCTTCCCGCCTCTGCTCCGTCCTGTGTCCTGTGGCAGTGGGCTTTCAGCAAGGAAATGGCTTTTTTGCTCTTGGCCCAGGACCTTTGACTATGCTTCCTCTAGGCCAGGGGCCAGCAGGCTTTTCCTGAAAAGGGCCATGTGGTAAATATTTTAGCTTCTAGTCCTAGAGTGAGAGACGATTCAGATCATGAACAACCATGCCAGTAAACTCCGGACTCCGAAGCTTGAGTTTCACGCAATAGTGGTCACGCGTTGTGAAACAGCCTTCTCTCGATTTGCTTTTTAAACACCTAAAAATGCAAAAGCCAGGCTGGGAACGGAGCTCAGGAGGCAGGTGCTTACCTAGCACCGATGAAGCCCCGTTTCAGTACCTAATGCTGCATGAACCAGGCATGACAACGCACAATTACAATCTCAGCACATGGGAGACAGAGGCAGGAAGATTGAAAGTCATCCTTAGCCACACAGTGAGTTCAAAATTGTCTGAGCTACTATTAGACCCTGTCACGAAAAGTAAAACTCCAGCCCAGTGTGTGGAAGCGTGTGTCTATCTATAGTGACAACCCTTGCCTGGGGGTGGGGCGGGGAAACTGTGTGAGCGCCCTGTCCTAAGGATTGCCTTGAGTTTGAGGCCGTAGTGAGATCCTGTCTCAAAAACAAAACAAAACTCCAGCAACAAATACGTTTGGCCTGAGGCTACAGCACGTGGAACACCGGTCCAGGAGACTGTTGTCTGCCTGTTGGCTGCTGTCTCCTCCCCTGCAGGTATGCTGAGCATGGAGGTCTGGCCTGGTGCCCTGGCCTCTTTCCCAAAAGGCAGGCACAACACAGAGCCGGGCACACAAGGGTGCAGAGGAACTCTCAGTTAGACTTGCTTGTTACACATTATCCCCTTATCTACTCCACACTCAAGCAGGCCACAGCTGTGGTCCCCACCTTACGGATGTCCCAACAGAAGCCATAGAGATCCTGAAGCTGCCCAGAAGTTGCTCAGCTGGGAGAGACAGTGACAGGCATCAGTCCTGGGAGCTAATTCCTTGGTGCATGAGCAACCAGGACCACATCTGGAGTGCTAAGACCCCAGGGGATGTGGCCAGGTCCATAGAAGCCCGCTCTGCCCAAACCCTCATTCCTGGGCTTGCTCTGGAGCTGACAGGCTTCTGTCAGTCTTTGTTCACCCCGGAGCCCCAGGACATTCTCTGTGCTTCATTTCTAGGACCAGGCTTAGGGCCTTCGGGTTTTGGGTTGGGAGTCCCCATCTTCACAGTGAAACAGGGCCACCAGGCTGAGACCCAGTGAGTCCCGAGCTGATTCTGCATGCCCCTCCTCCAGCCTTCTGTATGATGAATCAACCCCTTAACACAGCCTGAGCCAGAACCAGTGGCCTCCAGAGACATGTCCTCCTGCTATAGACTTCCCGGTGCTGGCCAGGCCTCTGCTGAGCACTGAGCTACAGCCTCCAGTTCAGCCCTCTCTGCAAGCCTCACTCTCTCCATATGTCAGACGTGGACATTGGCTTTGATTGATTCCTTCTTCCAACCTGAGAGTTAGACCTGAGTGGGCCTAGCTAGATAGGCAGGATCTGCCTTTCTGTGCTGTGGTCTCTTGGGGGCGGGGTGGAGGGAGGGGCGGAGCTCAGAGGCTACAGGTGGAGGTTGCCTCCTCCTCTGAATCTGCAGCTGTGTCTGAGGCCCAGCAAGGTCCCTGATGCTCAGCACTCCCTTTAGCTCTCTCCTGAAGGACATCCTGGCTTCAGGAATTCACACCTCAGCCCGAGTTCGTCCCCTTCCCCATCCCTGGGGAGCCCAAGAGGCCAGGGCCATGACTGAACTGGGGGAAAGGACTCTGGACTCTGGTGACAGTGTGGTGAAGAAGCAGGGGATGCAGGGAGGTTGATACGAGGGTAGCTACAAGGGCAGAGTCCCTAAGTGGATATTGCACTTTCAGAGGCTGGAGAGGACAGGTGACAAACAGCAGCTATAATGGCCTCTTCTTTGTGGGTGATGGGAGCCTGAGTCCCTGTAGGGTGAGCATGCCCAAAGGAGACGCGAGGGCCCAGAAGAGCACCTACTCTGATCCCCCGAGCCTCTCTGTACCTTGCTTTCCTTCCGGTTACAGCCCAAGAGCCCAGAGTCTCCAGATGGAAGAGCTGGGCCTCTCGGTAGGCAGAAGTGGCCAGTGAGCTGTCAGCTGTGTCCAGGGACACCCATTTGCTGTCACCAGGAAGGTGGGGGGGGCAAGATTTTCAGACCAGAACCAGGGACCATGTTGAGCCCTTGAGAAAAGGGAAGGGAGAGGGGAGGAGGGAGAAGAAAGGGAGGAGAAAGCCAAGGAAAAAGAGGGGAAAAGGAAAGAAGAGATAAGGAGGGAAGAAATGAGGAAGATGGACAGATACACTCATGGAAAGATGGGAGAAGAACAAGAGATGCGGGAGAGAGGAAGAGGGAGGTTGGCAAGACAACGTACTCAGGAGGCAAAGACAGTGGATCTCTGTGTTCAAGGCCAGCCTGGTCTACAGAGCTAGTTCCAGGAGATCCTGGGATACTTAGAGAAGCCGTGTCTTGAAAAACCAAAATAATAATATAAATTAATCTGAGCTCCTGGGAGGCAGAAGCAGGTGAATCTTTGTGAGTATGACACCAGCCTGATTTACATAGTGAGTTCCATGACAGCCAAAGCTACAAAGTGAGGCCCTGGCTCAAACAAAACAAAACAAACAAACAAACAAAATCCCCTTCCAAAAAAAAAAAAAAAAAAGGAAGAGAGAGGAAGGAAATGGGTTTCAAGTAACTCTGCCTATCTGTGAGAGTTATTCAACCACGTACAAGTATCATTTATCTCCTGGCCATCTCCCTGGCTCTGGCCCCAGTTCCAGCTGGGATTGGCAGCCCTGTGCTGGCAGGCCGGTTGCCTTGGTGACACCCCTTTGTTAGGCACCAGCATCAGCAAATGTCAAAGGGTTTTCAGTGGGTCAGCCCCATCCCCTCCCTTTTTCCCTTCTCCTTTTTCCCTCCCAGTTGCTGCTGCCTGAGCTGCAAACTTCCTCCGTCTCCATGGCGACGGAGGAGGCTGTCTCCCTTTTTCCATCCCAAACATCTGTCTCTATAAACACTTGTGCACTTGTGGCACCCCCTCCCCCAGGGATCCAGCTCTGGAAGGAAATACTTTGTTTATCTGGAGGGTGGGTTTCCTCAGCGCTCCACTCTCCTTCGGGCCGGGAGGCTGCCCCCACCCCCTGCTCTGGGTGGCTGCAATCCTAGATGAAGGAGCCCTAGGCAGGCGGCCAGGGCTCGCTGATCCTCTGTCAGGCTCCCTGCCATCCAGCAGCTCGCAGCAGCTCGGCTTTCTAGCTGGGTTGCCTTACACAGGTTGCTTAACTTCCCAGAGCTCCCGTTTCCCCTCAGCAAAGGAAAGGGTTCAAACACCGCTTCCCTCGCCTGCTTGTTGGGCTCTCACGGGATGGCCTGCACGGACATGTAATCTTGGGTGCTCTCATGAACAGCCCACATGGAAGAATGCTCAACTTCATGGTGGTGCTTGCCCAGGGTGACACAGGAACTTGGCTGGAGGGCCATGGTCTGCCTCAAGAGGCAAGCCCACTGCTTTCCTGACCAACAGGACCCCTTCTTGGTCCCAGGTCTTCAGTTTACAGGCTCACAAGCTTGGGAAGTTACACCACCTTCCCAACTGAAGACTTCTCTAGGTATCTTCAGGGAAGAGACTGGGACAAACTAAGAAGCTGGTGCCTTTGCCTGGGACTAGGGACAGGAATGCCTACTGTGAAGGCAGGCATGGAGTCAGGAACTGGGGCTTTGTGACTCATCCCCATGTTCCAAGCCATGAGAAGATGGCAGCCAGGCTTGGCCTCTGTAGGAGCCGGCCCTAGACCAGTGACCCAAGTGTCACTCCCCGGGGCCTTATGATACCTGTCCCCAAGCCCAACTTAGCACCCTTTCTGCATTCCTAGTCCCTGTACAGGTCAAAGAAAACTCCCCTGTGTCCCAAGAAGAGCCCAGATACATTGCCGGATGACATCCCATATCCCCAGGGTGGCCCCGGGGTAGGAGGAGCTGTGATCGGATCCAGTCCCACCAACTTCTGGCTTATGGCTCCAAGCTCCTGTAAAAATGGTAACACTCCACGGGTCCTACTGTACAGACTTCACGGTGCTTGGGGGCTTGCCTGGTGAGAGACCTTGAAGTAGAGACAGCTTCCCTTGAGACTGCTCCCACCTCCCACGCTTGTCTGGGAGACACACGACCTGGTCTCATAGAAGTAAAACCAGCTGGGGCTGTCGCTGAGTTCAGTATTTGTCTGCCATGGCACCACAAGCTGGCTGTGGTGACACACACACCTGCGGTTTCACTACAGGAGAGGTAGAGTCAGGAGGGCCAGATGTTTGCAGCCACCCTCAGCGGTAGAGTGAGTTTGAAACTCACTGCGTAGCTGAAGATGACTTTGAACTCCTGATCCTCCAGCATCCACCTCCCAGTGCTAGGATGGTAGGCCTGGCTTCTTCTGTTCTTATTCTGGGGCAGAGACAACAGCCAAGACCAGCCCTGAAGGGACTCCAGGTCCTGCGGGGGATTATGGTGGCCACGGGAGGGGAGCAGCGCACATGGGGCCAATTATCCGCTCATACCACCCTCAGACTCCAGCTTTCTGGCTCTGTGGCCAGTCTTTCCCTTTGGGGGGCTGGTGACTCAGCCACAGGTTCCATGTGGCAGGAAGTGGGCACAGTGACTCATAGGGTGGCTCAGCACCCTCCCTGTGGAAGCTGGGATGTCTATGGGCAGAGACCATAGGAGGACCCCGAGAAAGCAGACTTTGCCCCCAGTAGGAGCTGGAGAGTAGGGCCCTGGGGCACTCAACCTGGGGGTTCTTTCTTCTCTCATTCTTGAGGGTCGAGGGGATCTGCCCTCAGTAAGCTCGGCCTACAGCCTGTGGCATCCCCTGGCTACTTGCGGGCAAGTGTGTGGTGTGGGACACTCTTAAAGAATGCTAAGCTGTCTGCACAGCCAGCAAGTCCTGGGCTGGTCCCTGACCTCGCTGACTGCCCCCTGCTGTGTGTCTTTGATGGGCTGTGTTAGCACTCAGCAGCCACACAGGCTGCTCTTGGGCTGTC